ACATGAGGTGCGAATGACAATAAAGAAACTCTGACTCTGACTCTGACATATATATACATACATATATACATATACACATACATATATATATACATACATATATACATATATATATATACATATATACATTTACAGGTCTTTCTCAAAAAACTTAGCATATTGTGATAAAGGTCATTATTTTCCATAATGTAATGATAAAAATGAAACTTTCATATATTTCAGATTCATTGCACACTCACTGAAATATTTCAGGTCTTTAATTATTTTAATACTGATGATTATGGCATACAGCTCATGAAAACCCAAAATGCCTTTCCCAAAAAATTAGCATATCAAGAAAAGGTTCTCTAAACAAGCTATTAACCTAACCATCTGAATCAACGACGTAACTCTAAACACCTGCAAAAGATTCCTGAGGCTTTTAAAAACTCCCAGCCTTGTTCATTACTCAAAACCACAATCATGGGTAAGACTGCCGACCTGACTGCTGTCCAGAAGGCCATCATTGACACCCTCAAGCAAGAGGGTAAGACACAGAAAGAAATTGCTGAACGAATAGGCTGTTCCCAGAGTGCTGTATCAAGGCACCTCAGTGGGAAGTCTGTGGGAAGGGAAAAGTGTGGCAGAAAACGCTGCACAACGAGAAGAGGTGACCGGACCCTGAGGAGGATTGTGGAGAAGGGCCGATTCCAGACCTTGGGGGACCTGCGGAAGCAGTGGACTGAGTCTGGAGTAGAAACATCCAGAGCCACCGTGCACAAGCGTGTGCAGGAAATGGGCTACAGGTGCCGCATTCCCCAGGTCAAGCCACTCTTGAACAAGAGACTGCGTCAGAAGCATCTCGCCTGGGACTGCTGCTGAGTGGTCCAAAGTTATGTTCTATGATTACAGTAAATTTTGCATTTCCTTTGGAAATCAAGGTCTCAGGGTCTGGAGGAAGAGAGGAGACACATAATTCACATTGTTTGAGGTCCATTGTCAAGTTTCCAGAGTCACTGGGGTGTCATGTCATCTGCTGGTGTTGGTCCACTGTGTTTTATCAAGGACAGGGTCGAAGCATCCTGGGCCTCCATAACACCTCAACAGTGCCACAGGCTGATTGCCTCCTTGCCACGCCGCATTGAAGCAGTCATTCGTGCAAAAGGATTCCCGACCAAGTATTGAGTGCATAACTGAACATGGTTATTTGAAGGTTGGCGTTTTTTGTATTAAAAACACTTGTCTTTCATTGGTGGGATGAAATATGCTAATTTTTTTGGGACAGGCATTTTGGGTTTTTATGAGCTGTATGCCATAATCATCAGTATTAAAACAATTAAAGACCTGAAATATTTCAGTTGGTGTGCAATGAATCTGAAATATATGAAAGTTTCATTTTTATCATTACATTATGGAAAATAATGACCTTTATCACAATATACTAATTTTTTGAGAAGGACCTGTATACAGTGCCTTGCGAAAGTATTCGGCGCACTTGAACTTTTCAACGTTTTGCCACATTTCAGGCTTCAAACATAAAGATATAAAATTTACATTTTTTGTGAAGAATCAACAACAAGTGGGACACAATCGTGAAGTGGAATGAAATTTATTGGATGTGTCAAACTTTTTTAACAAATAAACAACTGAAAAGTGGGGTGTGCAATATTATTCGGCCCCTTTACTTTCAGTGCAGCAAACTCACTCCAGAAGTTCAGTGAGGATCTATGAATGATCCAATGTTGTCCCAAATGACTGATGATGATAAATAGAACCCACCTGTGTGTAATCAAGTCTCCGTATAAATGCATCTGCTCTGTGATAGTCTCAGGGTTCTATTCAAAGCGCAGAGAGCATCATGAAGACCAAGGAACACACCAGGCAGGTCTGAGATACTGTTTTGGACAAGTTTAAAGCTGGATTTGGATACAAAAAGATTTCCCAAGCTTTAAACATCCCAAGGAGCACTGTGCAAGCAATCATATTGAAATGGAAGGCATATCAGACCACTGCAAATCTACCAAGACCCGGCCGTCCCTCTAAACTTTCATCTCAAACAAGGAGAAGACTGATCAGAGATGCAGCAAGAGGCTCATGATCACACTGGATGAACTGCAGAGATCTACAGCTGAGGTGGGAGAGTCTGTCCATAGGACAACATTCAGTCGTACACTGCACAAATCTGGCCTTTATGGAAGAGTGGCAAGAAGAAAGCCATTTCTCAAAGATATCCATAAAAAGTGTTGTTTAAAGTTTGTCACAAGCACCTGGGAGACACCAAACATGTGGAAGAAGGTGCTCTGCTCAGATGAAACCAAAATCCAACTGTTTGGCCACAATGCAAAATGATATGTTTGGCGTAAAAGCAACACAGCTCATCACCCTGAACACACCATCCCCACTGTCAAACATGGTGGCGGCAGCATCATGGTTTGGGCCTGCTTTTCGTCAGCAGGGACAGGGAAGATGGCCAGAATTGATGGGAAGATGGATGGGGCCAAATACAGGACCATTCTGGAAGAAAACCTGTTTGAGTCTGCAAGAGACCAGAGACTGGGACGGAGATTTATCTTCCAACAAGACAATGATCCAAAACATAAAGCCAAATCTACAATGGAATGGTTCACAAATAAATGTATCCAGGTGTTGGAATGACCAAGTCAAAGTCCAGACCTGAATCCAATTGAGAATCTGTGGAAAGAGCTGAAGACTGCTGTTCACAAACGCTCTCCATCCAACCTCACTGAGCTCGAGCTGTTTTGCAATGAAGAATGGGCAAGAATTTCAGTGTCTCCATGTGCAAAACTGATAGAGACATACCCCAAGAGACTTGCAGCTGGAACTGCAGCAAAAGGCAACGCTACAAAGTATTAACGGAAGGGGGCCGAATAATATTGCATGCCCCACTTTTCAGTTTTTTATTTGTTAAAAAAGTTTGACAAATCCAATAAAGTTCACCCCACTTCACAATTGTGTCACACTTGTTGATTCTTCACAAAAAATTTAAATTTAATATCTTTATGTTTGAAGCCTGAAATGTGGCAAAATGTTGAAAAGTTCAAGGGGGCCGAATACTTTCGAAAGGCACTGTAAATTAATTATGAACATCAGATGAAGATTTATACATAAAATGGTAAAGTCAATTAAAAAAAACTTCATGGCAAACATAATAATATATGGCAATCGTTTTCTGTTTCAGATGAGAAAGCTTGTAAAAGAAGAAAATGTCAGCCCATGACCATCTGTTGGGAGAAGACTTTCAAGTAAGGATGGGAGCTAGATCTGTAAGGGAACACGCCAATGAAGAAGTCAAGAGGTACAGAGAGCGTGATCCTTTGCCCCTGAAAAAACAACACTATTATGGTGGAAAGAGCAACAGGACTTGCCACTGCTGTCATCTATGGCTAAAAGGTATCTCTGCATACTGGCCACCAGTTTGGCATCTGAAATAGTTTTCAGCATCGCAGGAGATGCTGTTTCCACAAAATGCAGTCTACTCAAGCATAAACATGTGAATCAGTTGATTTTCCTTAAGAAAAATCCACCGCAAAAAAAAAGATTAGGACAGTGATTATGATGAATAAAAAAAATAGAAAACTAAGCACAAGCATAAGGAAGTGACCTACTTCACTGTGTTTGATTTCAGATTTAACCTGACACATGTGAAAGTAGAAATGCAGGGCATTACTTTTGTTCAGACTACCTTCCCCCACTGTTTTTATTACATGCTGCTGTATTCATTCGTGTGTTTTATATTTATTCTTCATTTTTTCATTTTTATATTGATCCCATCAAACAAAGAAATGTTCACTGAGCAGTTTTTTTAGGTCCATGTCTAAAAATAAAAACATTTGACATGTGATTCTACTGTTTGTCTTTTAACTTTATTTTTTGCCAGTGCCTTACAGCACACTTTTAGATATATGTGGACTTTTGCAAATTTAAAAATACTGTAAGAATGTCACATTTATAAAAATGGCCCTTTTTGTTTCATAATGAAAGATTTATGTCAACATCAACAAATGTTACACCGTAGAATTGTATGAAGTTGAATCATATCACTCTTACACTGTATTGAATTGTATCGAATTGTTCTGTTTTTGAAATGTATCGTTTTTTTAATCGAATCGTAACCTTTGTATCTAGATGCGTATCGAATCATCTATCACAGAGATGTGCAACACTAGTCTGCAGTGTAAGATGCTCTGAGTAAAGTACAAAGCTTTGATGACAGATAAAAGTTGTGTTGTGGAACAGGATCAGACGTCAAACTCTGAAGTAAGAATGATTCAGTTGTCTCTACCACAACAGATAGTATTAAGTTAGAAAAGAGATGAAAACTTGAATAATGTTTCAGTGAGTGTACATACCACCTCTCCAGGTTTGCAAGGATCACAGTCATCAGTGGGGTACATGCGTGTGACAGGGCAGCGAAGGATTTCTTGTCCATTAGGGACATGGTTACTGTAGTCCTGGGAGAAAAACACAAGTTCAGAATTAGTAATGCATCAGTTGGTATTTGTAATGCTATGATGATATAGGACGACTATGATATAGGTGCAAGCACATCATCATATCATTAGCACAAAGACATGAACCAGGACCATGAAGTGTGATGTCCTGGTACATGGTATGACATTTCATGGGTTGTACCTCTATGCTCTCCTTTATGGAGCAGTATCTGCATAACATTTTGACATGATTCCTGAATTTTAGAAGAACTGTAAATTTTTAACAGTTAAAGGTTTTGATAGCCAACAGGTTCAACAGTTTAAAATGTCCTAATTAGAAGGAGACTTATGAGATGTAAATTTTAAAATAATCTAATTTCAGGTTTCCTGAAATTACAAGAATAAAGATTTCTTATTATTTTGTCTTTAAACGGGGAAAAAGTTTCTGACCAATGTGCATTACATAAATTGCACATTACAGATTTCTTGGACCAAACTTACTGGGTCACTTAGGAGTTGTAGTTGTATACTTATTCTGGTTCATGGATCATCAAGGGTCAGTCTATAAATGGACTGTACTTATATAGTGCCTTTCTATCTGATCAAGATACTCAAAGTGCTTTACATTACAATCTGTGCCTTGTTTACCCATTCATACAGCACTCTACTAGATCTCTACAAAGCTAATTGAACAAATCATTCTAATGAGACTAATCAGAGCTTTATCACATTCATACACTGATGGGACACACATTGGCGGCAATGAGGTAGGGGTGGGCGATATTGCTCAAATATAATATTGTGATATTTCAAAGCAGTCTGATGATAACGATAAATTTCGTGATATAACCAAAAAAAAAAACCCCAGAAATCATAGTTATTGATTTGACAAAATTAACTGCTTTGCAGCATTATACAAAAACAAAAAAAAACAACAAGGGTTAATTTAACTGAAATTGCTTTATTTAGTTAAGTATTCAGTCTCAAAGTATAAAAATAAAAAATAAAATTTATCCTTCTGTAATTTAGATTGGAAAAAGTCTGCACAAAATATAAATCAACAACATCTACCAAAAAAACTAAAGTGCAGGTGCAGTTTCCCAGAATAAAAAAATTGTAGCTCAAGATCTGTGGAGCATAAATGTAACATACAACAAAAAATACATTGCCTTTAAATGAGCTATAACTTCCAAAACTTGTGACAAGGTGTCTTCAGCTGACCCTGATGCTTGCGTTGTGTTTCAGCTTCCTCTGTTCCTGCAGGAATGATTCCATTTCTCTGACTACTCTGTCTTTGATTACCTGCCTCTGCTCTTGGTCCATGGACTGTGGAACTCAAGAGACACATCTGAATTGCGTGTGTTTGTACCAGCAGTCCAGAGTGGGGTGGAGGGGGGGGGGGAGGAGAGACAGCTGAGCTGTCTGTACCCACAGTTTAGAGCTGGGTGGAGAGACACAGCTGAGCCGCACATTGTTTGCTTTTAGCTTTTTAGCTAGCCAGTATTGCACACAGCTAATTAGCGTTAGGCCAGTACCAACAGGTTGTTGGGTGAGTGCGCGGTTCGGTAGTTCGGTGTGCTCGGTTCTGTTAACGGGGCGGGGCGTCTCGCTTGTATAAGGGGAATCACTGATGTATTTACATCATGAAATTAGCATATCATGATTAGGGATGCACTGATCCACTTTTTCCACTTCCGATAACAATATCTGAGGTTTAGTATCAGAAAAACAGTGCTGAATTCCGTTCAACGAACTCAGCGTTCTCTTTAGGGTGAAATCTCTGGAGATGCTTGATTAAGTTGGTAGTGTTATAACTGGAAGTTTTAGTGACAACCCCAGAAATCGTCGCTGTGCACGTATTGCACGTATTGCACGTAGCTGTCGAATGTGTTGGCTGAGGTAGTGTGAAATAGTTCCAGATGGCTGATCCTTTTGCTCGCTCCATTTTGAAAACAATCTGTGCAGTGAGTTCGCTAGCGCGTGACGACACTCAGAGTGCAAAGAACAGAATTAGACTTAATAGATCTGCCCAGTCATTGATCGGTCATATTGTCACAGATACCCGATCCAGAAGTTTTTTTCCGATATCGGGACCAATACCGATATTGGTATCAGATAGGTGCATCTCTAATCATGATATAATTAATTTTCCCAGGCAAGCTTTTTTTTAACCAGTATTATCGTGAACGATATTATATGGCCCAGCCCTACAATGAGGGTTCAATGTCTTGCCCAAGAACACTTCAGCATGTGACTGCTGGTGGATTCGAATCCCCAACTCTTGCATTGGAGGACGACTGCTCTAACCACCCAGCCATAGCCGCCCAACTCATATAACAACTCATTACCTCACAAACTGGAGCCAGGGTCAAACTCCTTTCTGTTTTAGGGCGGCTGTGGCTGAGTGGTTAGAGCAGTCGTCCTCCAATGCGAGAGTTGGGGGTTCGAATCCACTAGCAGTCACATGTCGAAGTGTCCCTGGGCAAGACACTGAACCCCTCATAGCCTCTGATGTGTGTCCCATCAGTGTATGAATGTGATCTAAAGCACTGATTAGTCTCTTTAGAATGATTGTTCAATTAGCTTTGTAGAGATCTAGTAGAGTGCTGTGTGAATGGGTAAATGAGGACACAGATTGTAGTGTAAAGCGCTTTGAGTATCTTGAAATAAGATAGAAATGCACTATATAAGTAGTCCATTTACCATAAGTACAGTCAATTTTACTGCAGGAGTCTCTTGCCTACCTGGATGCACTGCAGCCACCACCACAAGGCGTCCCGGCAGTTGTACCTGGCGCAACGACCCTCTCCCAAAAGGTTGGGGATCAGACCGTGACGCAGAGTCCCTGCGAATGCCAGGATAATGTTTCTATGGATACCAAAACACAAAATGGTTAATTTCAGAGCTTCGTTATTGTGGGGTTTTATTACATCATCTGATTATTTTGATTAAGCCTGGCAATAAACCTCCATACATACCGAGCCTCAATGTGTCTTCCTGTGATAAGCATCAGACCTCTAAGAGCAATAAAAGTGTCTCTGCCCCAACAGCGGAAAATCCCCGAAGAGAAATGAGGGAGACCTACAAAAAAGACTCCATTTGTATTCTTTCATGTTGTAAGGTTTTAAATCAAGACAAAATTTACAGGTGCTGGTCATAAAATTAGAATATCATGAAAAAGTTGATTTATTTCAGTAATTCCATTCAAAAGTTTTCATTCTTTACACACAGACTGATATATTTCTAGTGGTGTAATGGTACACGTGGGTGTATCGAACCGTTTTGGTACAGCATGTTCAGTTCGGTCCATGTGCGTACCGTTTCGATTTTTTTACTCATTAAAGTTTATTAACAAGAGATTATGGGCCGCGGAACTAAAGTTCCTAAGTGTGTTTCAGCATGGCGCTATAGTCTTGCAGTACGCGTAGCATTAGCAGCCTAGCATCTCATTGCGGTCTTCTGTTTGGGAACATTATGGCTTTCTTGTTAAAAGACCAAGTGAAAGTCCAAAGCCGTGTGTGTGTTTCCTTTACTGATGAAGCCTTCTGGATGGAAGGTGAAACATTTCAGCAGAAAAAGAAATTGTCCAGATGACCTTAATGAAAATTGTTGGATTGTATACCTGAATTATTGAGCATGGACTTTGTTGGTTTTGAACCAGTTTGACATGACTGTCGACAAGGGAGAGGGCCGGCACCGGAGGAGGGGGCGTGCCAAAGAGACCAATCTTAGCACCAACATAACTGGTTTGTTCCACTTTGGAGTAAGCTGTTGGGGGAAGAATCAGTTTTGTCTTGTGTGTTTCCTTGACTTATGAAGCCTTCTGAATGGAAGGTGAAATGTTTCAGCACAAAAAAAGAAACTGTCCAGATGACCTGAATGAAAATTGTTGGATATAATAAAGTCCAGTTGATGTTGTCTTGAACTTTTGAATTTGTCATTAAACCCAAGTTTGTTTATTACATGATACAACAGCATGCCATAATACTATTACTACTCTGCTGCCATCAAGTGGCTGAAAGTGGTACTGCTAAAAAATTTCAGTCAGAATGAATGAAAATGGTCATATCTCAGCCAAAAAATAGTTTATAAATATGGGGAAAAAAATCCATATATATGTCGCGTCGGCCTATAAGTCACAGGGCATGTAAATTATGCACAAAACTGCGACTTATGGGCCGAAAAATACGGCATTTAAATTGTAAACGGTCTGTTGGTGGGGCAGCACGGTGGCGCAACTGGTAGAGCTGCTGCCTCTCAGCGAGCAGGTCCTTGGTTCAAACCCCGGTCCAGGGGCCTTTCTGGGTGGAGTTTGCATGTTCTCTCCGTGCATGCGTGGGTTTTCTCCGGGTACTCCGGTTTCCTCCCACAGACCAAAAACATGCATGTTAGGCTGATTGGTAACTCTAAATTGTCCTTAGGTGTGAGTGAGAGAGTGAATGGTTGTTTGTCTCGTTTGTCTCTATGTGGCCCTGTGATGGACTTGCGACCCATCCAGGGTGTACCCCGCCCCTCGCACAGTGATTGCTGGACATGGGCACCAGCGACCCCCGTGACCCAAAATGGAATAAACGGGTAAAGAAAATGGATGGATGGATGGGTCTGTTGGTGCTTATTGTTCTGGTTCTGACAGTTATTGTATTTAAAAATATTTTTATTAGTCTTAGTATAGTTTATTTATTGTAAAGTGCTGTTTATTTAAAATATCATCCAAATGACACATCCTGGACAGAGAGGAACGATGGTTTGAGAGAGGAGTAAAGGAGGCCATCTTTGTGAAAAGAAATCGTCCATCATTAAACAGGGGTGGAGGCCTCCGGTTTCAACTGTCCCCCTCTTACAATGCTGTGATTGCTAGTATCACTCAGCCCTCTGTGAATAGTAAACAGCCATCAGTGTGCTAATGATCCATTGTTAGGCTGATGGTCGTTCTTGAGCATGTGATCAGCTGGTTTTGGTTGTCAGCAGCAAACTGGTTGATCCACTCTGAGAAGGTGCTATTTAAGAGACTGAGCTGAAAACAGCACCTCAGACTGAGGAAGTCTCTTGGATGAGAGACGAAAAGTTTCTATATTTTTTTGCTTTGTTTTATTTTTTGTTTTGATTGAACTTTTTTGGATTTTTCTACCTGGATTATTGAGCATGCATCAGGATATCATCCAAATGGCTCACTTTTTATTTATTTTTATACAAACATATTATTTACTTGGCATATTTTTAAAATAAACGTTTTGTAAGTCTTCATTATGGCCATTTTTTTAAACCGAAAATTAACCGAACCAAGACCTTCTTGAAACTGAACCAAACTGAAACCCAAATTCAATATCTCAAACAATGTGAATATTACTTAAGCCCAATTAAAAAAAAAAAGGATTTTTAGAAATGTTGGCCAACTTAAAAGTATGAACATGACAAGTATGAGCATGTACAGCACTCAATACTTAGTTTGAGCTCCTTTTGCCTGGATTACTGCAGCAATGCGGCGTGGTATGGAGTCAATCAGTCTGTGACACTGCTCAGGTGTCATGAGAGCCTAGGTTGCTCTGATAATGGCCTTCAGATCTTCTGAATTGTTGGGTCTGGTGTATCGCATCTTCCTCTTCACAATACCCCATAGATTTTCTATGGGGTTAAGGTCAGATGAGTTTACTGGCCAATTAAGAACAGGGATACCATGCTCCTTAAACCAGGTACTGCTAACTTTGGCACTGTGTGCAGGTGCCAAGTCCTGTTAGAAAATGAAATCTGCATCTCCATAAAGTTGGTCAGCAGCAGGAAGCATGAAGTGCTCTAAAACTTCCTGGTAGACGGCTGTGTTGACCTTGAACCTCAGAAACAGTCGACCAACACCAGCAGATGACATGGCACCCCAAACCATCACTGACTGTGGAAACTTGACACTGGACCTCAAGCAACGGGGATTCTGTGCCTCTCTTCCTCCAGACTCTGGGACAGTGATTTCCAAAGAAAATGTAAAATTTACTTTTATCAGAGAACATGACTTTGGACAACTAAGCAGCAGTCCCAGGCAAGACGCTTCTGACGCTGTCTCTTGTTCAAGATTGGGTCTTCCGGTAAGATGGCGCCCATGTACATGGCCTGCAATCTATCTCTGACGATACTGTTTGGATTATTTCTGCTTTTTCCGTTTTTTGTCTGGGATATCAACTCGCTGCTTGTGTATGACCGACAACAGCTCCTCGATCTTCGATTGTCTCAGAGTCAGAGTCAGAGTCAGAGTTTCTTTATTGTCATTCGCACCTCATGT